CAAAGTCAAGAGGAAGTTGAATCATCGTTATTAACCAATGACTCATGGAGTCCAGCAGAGGAAATTTCAACACAAAGTACCCAAAATGAAGTTAGACAAATAGTCAAGGCAATGTCTCTTGAATCTACTCAGAGTGAAGACTTTACTTCTCAGTCTCTTTCTGATTTGACTCCACTAACAGTTACACGTGTACGACAGTTCAGTCTTGATGAACTGTTGCAAGTCCCCTCCCAAGGGAATTCTGAGACATCCTCAGATGGGGCTAGGCCAAGGACCAGTGGACAGTTTTCAGAAGTAGACTATGAGGGCTTTGTCTCTCAGCCTATTTTGGTTCCACCCAAGAATGAGACAACTTTATCCTCCTCTGATGAAGAGTATAACATCTCACCTGGGTATGCAAATATCACTTCTACTGCAAGCAACTTTAATGACAAATTGTCCTCAATAACTTCAACCAAAGTCTCTTTCCAAGGCAAGTTTGAAAGTCCAGAGGAACAAAATCTAACTAGTCCTCATGATGAAGATTCTACAACTGACAATCTGCAAAGTCAAGAGGAAGTTGAATCATCGTTATTAACCAATGACTCATGGAGTCCAGCAGAGGAAATTTCAACACAAAGTACCCAAAATGAAGTTAGACAAATAGTCAAGGCAATGTCTCTTGAATCTACTCAGAGTGAAGACTTTACTTCTCAGTCTCTTTCTGATTTGACTCCACTAACAGTTACACGTGTACGACAGTTCAGTCTTGATGAACTGTTGCAAGTCCCCTCCCAAGGGAATTCTGAGACATCCTCAGATGGGGCTAGGCCAAGGACCAGTGGACAGTTTTCAGAAGTAGACTATGAGGGCTTTGTCTCTCAGCCTATTTTGGTTCCACCCAAGAATGAGACAACTTTATCCTCCTCTGATGAAGAGTATGACATCTCACCTGGGTCCGTTAAGAAATCTTCTAACACAACCAACTACACTGACAAATTTCCCTTGACATCTTTACCCAATGTATCTTCAATGGGTCAGCTTGAAATACCAGATCGAACTGGCCTTTTTAATGAAGATTCTACACCTGAAGTCCTGCAAAGTCAAGAAAAGTTTGAATCAATCTTTTTAACTAATGACTTATGGAGTCCAGCAGAAGAAATATCAACACAAAGTACCCCGAATGAAGTTACACATTTTGGAAAGGCGATTTCTGGTGAATCCACTCAAAATGAAGACGTTTCTTCTTCGGCTCTTTCTGATTTAACTCCAGAAACAGTCACACATGCCAGACAGTTCAGCTATGAAGAACTGCTGGAGACACACTCAGATGAGGAAAGGCCAAGGGTCAGTGGACAGTCATCAGAAGAATCTCCGACTCAAGTGGAGTATGAGTGTGGTGTCTCTAAGCCCATTTCAGTTCAATGCAAAGCAGAGATGACTTCCTCTTCCTCTGATGAGGAGTACTACATCCCACCTGGGAAAGCAAATACCACTTCTACCACAAACAAATATACTGACAAATTTCCCCTGATATCTTTACCCAATGTATCTTCAAAGAGCCAGCTTGAATTACCTGAGGAGAATCAAACTGGCCTTTGTAATGAAGATTCTGCTCCTGAAATTCTGCAAAGTCAGGAAAAGTTTGAATCAACCTTTTTAACTAATGACTTATGGAGTCCAGCAGAAGAAATATCAACACAAAGTACCCAGAATAAAGTCACACATATAGTCAAGGCAATTTCTGTTGAATCTAATCTAAGTGAAGGCTTGACTTCTCAGTCTCTTTCTGATTTAACTCAGGAACATTTACATGTATACGACAGTTCAGCCATGACAAACTGTTGCAAGTTCCCTCCCAAGGGAATTCTGAGACATCCTCAGATGAGGCTAGGCCAAGGACCAGTGGACAGTTTTCAGATGTAGACCATAAGTGCTTTGTCTCTAAGCCCATTTCAGTTACAGCCAAGGCAGAGATAACTTTATCCTCCTCTGATGAAGAGTATGACATCTCACCTGGGTCCGTTATGAAAACTTCTAACACAACCAACTACACTGACAAATTCCCTTGACCTCTTTACCCAATGTTTCTTCAAAAGGTGAGCTTGAAATACCTGAGAGAATCCAACTGGCCTTTGTAATGAAGATTCTACATCTGAAATTCTGCAAAGTCAGGAAAAGTTTGAATCAGCCTTTTTAAGTAATGATTTGTGGAGTCCAGCAGATTTTGGAAAGGCAATTTCTGTTGAATCCACTCAAAGTGAAGATGTTTCTTCTCCGGCTCTTTGTGATTTGACTCCAGAAACAGTCACACATGCCAGACAGTTCAGCTATGAAGAACTGCTGGAGACACCCTCAGATGAGAATAGGCCAAGGGTCAGTGGACAGTCATCAGAAGAATCTCCGACTCAAGTGGAGTATGAGTGTGGTGTCTCTAAGCCCATTTCAGTTCAATGCAAAGCAGAGATGACTTCCTCTTCCTCTGATGAGGAGTACAACATCCCACCTGCGAAAGCAAATACCACTTCTACCACAAACAAATATACTGACAAATTTCCCCTGATATCTTTACCCAATGTATCTTCAAAGAGCCAGCTTGAATTACCTGAGGAGAATCAAACTGGCCTTTGTAATGAAGATTCTGCTCCTGAAATTCTGCAAAGTCAGGAAAAGTTTGAATCAACCTTTTTAACTAATGACTTATGGAGTCCAGCAGAAGAAATATCAACACAAAGTACCCAGAATGAAGTCACACATTTTGGAAAGGCAATTTCTGTTGAATCCACTCAAAGTGAAGCTGTTTCTTCTCCGGCTCTTTCTGATTTAACTCCAGAAACAGTCACACTTGCCAGACAGTTCAGCTATGAAGAACTGCTGGAGACATCCTCAGATGAGAATAGGCCAAGGGTCAGTGGACAGTCATCAGAAGAATCTCCGACTCAAGTGGAGTATGAGTGTGGTGTCTCTAAGCCCATTTCAGTTCAATGCAAAGCAGAGATGACTTCCTCTTCCTCTGATGAGGAGTACAACATCCCACCTGGGAAAGCAAATACCACTTCTACCACAAACAAATATACTGACAAATTTCCCCTGATATCTTTACCCAATGTATCTTCAAAGAGCCAGCTTGAATTACCTGAGGAGAATCAAACTGGCCTTTGTAATGAAGATTCTGCTCCTGAAATTCTGCAAAGTCAGGAAAAGTTTGAATCAACCTTTTTAACTAATGACTTATGGAGTCCAGCAGAAGAAATATCGACACAAAGTACCCAGAATGAAGTCACACATTTTGGAAAGGCGATTTCTGTTGAATCCACTCAAAGTGAAGCTGTTTCTTCTCCGGCTCTTTCTGATTTAACTCCAGAAACAGTCACACTTGCCAGACAGTTCAGCTATGAAGAACTGCTGGAGACATCCTCAGATGAGAATAGACCAACAGGGTCAGACTGTGAACTACGAGTGTTTTGGCTCTCAGCCCATTTCAGTCAAATGCAAATCAGAGATTAATTCCTCTTCTTCTGATGAGGAGTACAACATCGCCCATGGACTGCAAATACCCCTTCTGCCACTCACAACAATACAGACGTGCCTCCAGATTATGCATCAGTTGTTCGAAGTGGCACAGGAAGCCCAACTTTTCAATTCTCGGATCCAGAGCCTTTCTTTGACTGCAGACAAGCAGCATCCGATTTTTCAGAGACTGATGAACTCGATACAGGTGCAGGTGAGCCCGAGGAACATCTCAGCTTTTGTAGGATGCAAGACAAGGTGAATCGAAGAGTCCTTCTGTCCTCTGGAAGTGAAGATTATGAGGATGCTCCTTTTGTTCCCGAACCTCTTCAGAATGTGCAGGAAGAGAATGAAGAATTATTAGGCTATTCAGAAGATTCAGATGAAGAATTCTCCTTATTTGAGGCTGCACAACCGCATCCTGTTGCAAAAATTGGAGCACATGAAGATACTGATACATTTGTGACAAGGGTAAGATGAGATGTGATAAACCACCCCAACCTGCAACCTTTTCCCAGAGCTGAGCTTAACCAAATACTGTAATAGCTAACCCTGCAGCTACATGGATGGGATCCAAATCTCCCCATAACCCTTTATTTTGTTTGTTTTCAGACCTAACCAATCCTAACTCAGCATGTCAATAAGTTTCCTCTAACCACCTGAATCACTCATGCTGTACCAATTTCATGAGCTCCATGGTTTTCCATATGCAAAAAAAGCACATGAATTCTTTAACTTAGTAAAAGCATGGTTTGGTTTCTCCAAGTTACAGACTGTCATGTTGCACTTTCCATGGTGAAGTATTACATTTAAGTGTAAAATTCTCAAATTTAGTGGAAAGTTCATCATGACACTCTGCTAACTGCTTGCTTTGCTGCAAACATTGATTTCATTCATTGTGATTGATTTACTCAAATGAATTTGTGTTGCTCGGTCAGGAGATCATCGCACAGCTCGGATCAATGTCAGAAAGTTCAGATGATGAATTTTTAACGACCAGGATAGTGCGAAGGAGAGTTGTCATTCAGGTATCTGATTTAGCATGATGGATGGTGTTTTAAACAAGTGTAGAGGGTGTGACTTTCAAACACCTGTCTTAAACCAGGCTTGGTTTTCACTGTCAGGTTGAAGTGTGAAACCATCTAACAATCTAACATCTCATCAAGATGGGTTAAAAAAAAAAAAATTGCATTTGAAGATTTCCTTGGGGTTTATAAGAAACCTGCCACTTGATTTGCATACATGGCTGAACCTCGTCCAGGTCTTTTATGCTGCTGTGATTGTTGTTTAATTTGTCAACCTACTGAAACCTTTTTAACCCTGAGAATGCCACTTTGTATCCTGTGTCCCAAACTATCTGTTGAGTCACTGAATAACCACCTTTTTATGCCTCTCTGTTTTTTTCTCTAATATGCTTTGTGTGTTATGTATGAAGTGCAGAATGAAACCAGTCAACATGACACTGACCCAATGAGCATCCCTGATTATTGTTTCTCTGGTTTCTCTTGCAGGCTGATGAAATGCCCGACCTCCCCACTCAGTCTGTGACTGAAGAAAAGTACAAGGATGAAAACGGACACATCGTGGTGAAAAAGGTAATGATTTCATAATAATGTATCATATGGTAGCATATAAAGTGGCAACAGCAGCCAGTACAGCTTCAATAAAAAACAGGACTTTTGGTACATTGTTGCCCTTTCTCATTTTTGCTTTCTCGAATGTTTTTAACAGTATAAGGTTGTTTTTTATTTCCTTTTAACAAGTCTTCACCACCTTGTCGTGTTTATTAACGTGATCTTTAGGTTACCAGAAAAATCATTCGCAAGTGTGTATCTGCGGATGGTGTGGAGCTTGAAGAGGTTTTGATTGAAGGAGCTCCCCAGGGGTCCCTACGTGTGGCAGAGGGAGATGGATACTCTAAGTTGGTGAAGCGGACTGTACTGAAGAGCGAAGGAGACCACACAGAGGTATGTGTACTGTAAATTATGTGTGTTGATTTCATGAGCCTTTTTTCAGGTTGTGATTCCACAACAGTGCTGTTTTGAAGCTCCGCCTTCATTACACCTTTGAACTTTCATATTGATTCCACAGCAGAGTAATATTTGTCTGTGATTTCACATTGCTTAACAGCGTTGTGGAAGCATGAGAGGCAAGACAGAGAGCTTCAAATACACACAAACACACACACTCAGACATGCGCACACACACACACACACACACACACAGTGCTGTTCACCCCGATGGCTCTGCCGTCTTACAGTGATCCCACCCCCCTTTAACCCCTCTGTTCTTTATTACAAGACATGCAAAGTAGGAACGACTTGGTCCCACCATTATGCCTCTGTGATATTCATTGAGACATTACAGGGGCGTGAATATTGCGCCTTGAACTGGCAATATGAATATTGTTATAATCTAAAACATCTACCTTTTGCAGAAAATCCAAATTGTTTAATTGTTGTAGTTTAAACTGGAATATATCAACAAGCTAATAACCTTTTTCCTTGAATCAGGTAACATTTGTTGAGTGTGAAGGGTTTTCTGCATCAAAACAAGAGACAGCTGAAGGTGGAAAGGTCAGATGCACAGAAAGGACAACGGTAGTCGAGGGTGAAAGGACAATGACACATCAAGGGGATCCATCCTTGGCCTCTGACCTCCCCTCAGCCAACGATGACTTCAAACAGGTTTGTGTCTGAGATCCTAATTTAACCATGACGTATTAGCTGGCACATGTTTATCTGATATCCTGTCTATAAGGCCTTCATTTGATTCCAGTATGGCAGCGTATAACTTAATCTAGCCTCCTTATATTTTCATGATTTAAATTGTTGAATTATTTTTTATTTTTCCTTCTTTTTATGCCATCAGGCATTAGGTTATATGAGTGGTTTTAGCAGAACAGAGCTCCCTCATGTGGTAGAAAGAGAGACTGTCAAGGAAGATGGAACTGTGGTCAGGAGGTGTGTGTGTGTATGTGTGTGTGTGTGTGTTTAACTGCTTGATTTTTTTGAGTGTGATTTCTTACATTCACAGCCATGCAAAGGTTTTTTTTTTATCTTACTAATATTGACTAATGTTTGTTAATGTTGCTATCATTAACAACTTAGCTAACAATCAATAACAACCAATGAGACGTGCTTTTATATTTTTGGTTAACAGAAGACACCTTCTCGCCTTTTTTTAAGTGAGTCATATACCAGTTGGCCTCCTCTGTGAAAGCAGTAGAGGTTGATTTGGCAGTCAGATTGGATCATGTATTTTTACATTGCTAATTTAAGTGTGGTAAAAGGTATAATATGCAGCATATAAAACATTAATATGGCATCTTTAAAATATATCCTAACTAAATGTATTGTTAAGTAATGACTTAAAATGAGTGAAGTCAAACTCCCTAAAGGTTTGTTGTTCTTAGCTCTGTGTCCACACTGACCAGATGGCACCCCCTTGAGGCAAAAGGGGAACACAGCAACACAAAGGTGTCTGTTTCAGTTTCATAGGTGTGTCGGTGAGTGGTTGATTACGTCATGAACAAGTAGGATGTAGACTCAATGCCAAGGAGCACTAAAGTGGTTTTCACAACTAATTATTGGGGGAACACCTTGATAAGGCTCGGTTTATATGTCAGGGCTTGTAGCTTGTATGTTATTCACCCCAAGTCAGGATTTAAACTTACACCTGTTAAAAGTGTTTTTTGGTTAAAGCAGCTAGAAAGTAGCTTGAAATCCTTGACGCTGTGCATCCATGAAAACTGAACTAACAAAGCATGATACATTTTTCTAATTGTTGTTTCTCCTGTGTAAGATGAAGCAGGTTTAGCATGCAAGGTGCTGGTTGTTTGTGGATGCTGACCTGTCTTTTTCTTTTTGTATCCACCTCCACCCCGGCTCCATTTCTAGGGCCCACATGCGTAAAGGTCGGACCCTCAGACGAACAGTGGTGAAGGGAGCTGGGCAGCGCAAACAGGTCCTTCTAGAGCAAGTGGACAACCCCAGAAAAGGGTCAAAAACACATGATCTCCAGCAGCATCTCCAGCAGCTCTTTCACCGCTACTATGAAGAAGAATCGGAGGACACCGATGAGGACATAGAGGAGGAGGACGAGTAGAAGAATGTGTAACACTCTCCCCCCACTCCCTGGCTCTGCCCATGCTAAAGAATCCCCTCCTCCCCCCTCCCTGTAATCCTATGCATTAGCCACATGCAATCCCAGTGTGCATCACTGCACCCTAAAGCTACCACAGTCTTCCCGTTACAGTCCTGGAAGATGAGCTTTTTGTTCACACTTTGGAGTCGTCTTCCTAAGCTAGAATAATGTCCTCATCATTTTCCTTTTCATGTTCTGATGCTGTTTTACCTTCTTTTTTTTTTTTTGTGACCAAAGAAAGCCTTCTGTCGTTTCCCTGATTACTTTCCACATCAGAATTGTCTTTGATATGTTTGTCTTGATGCTGCGGTGAAGCAACAACAACAACAAGAGAAAAAAAATGAAAAAGAACACTATTTACATCGACTAACTCACAAACCTCCCGAGGGTAAGGACCACTTCACGTGCAAAATACTGGTATTACTCTCCGAGTAGGTGCTTGGACTTTAAAGACAGTATCCCACACTGCACTGCCTCTCACAACTACAGTTTCTCAGATATTGCTCACCCCACCCCCCATTAAAAAAAACGGTCTCACTCACTGTACTAGCCTGTTTGCTCTTCTGATTCAGGTGATGAAGATGTCACACAGAGGAAAACCCGACTGTATCGACACTGAATTTAACTACTGCTGCTGCTGCTGTGTTTTGTGTAGGCTATGTGTAACCTGTCCTTGGGAATTATATATTATCTATAATCTAGACATCAGTAGCCTAGGAACTAATAATCACTCATGTGAAGTAGAGCAGGCATGACTAATCAACATCTTGTCATTTTGATCCCAGCTTTGACTGCTTTGTAGTTCGACAGATTGCCCTTTCTCTGCCTCTCTTTTCTCTTCTCTGTGAGTCTTTCTTTCTCTGTCATCACGTTTCTTTTCTTTTCTGTTCTCTGTCTTTTTCTCTTAAATTGTTAGAAATGGACTAATTGATAATGTTGGATGAATGTGTAGATGAGTGTGTGTGTGTGTGTGTGTGTGTGTGTGTGTGTGTCCATGCATGTGTGTAATGCTGCGTTGTCAGCTAGTTTGAAGAGGGTATTGTCTAAGTGGTGTTTAGCTCCTGTGTTTTTTAAATTGTATTATTATTTTATTTTTGTTTGTTTGTTTTTGACAAGTAGAGACAATCTTGATTTTTTTTAAATATAAATATATATCAGTGAGGACCCCCCCCCCCCAGATTTGGCACTGGTGAATTAGATTGTCACAGTCGCTCCAGGATACTTGTCACTAAATGAGATTTGAGGTAAGGTGATCAGGTTTTACTCATTATTTAATGTAGAATTTATATGTTTATCGTATGAAAAAGAAAGTGTTGGACCAGGTGTTGACATTGGTGTGTGTGTGTGTGTGTGTGTGTGTGTGAGTGAATGAGCCTGTGAGCAAACTAAGAGTGCGTGCCAGTTTCAGTCAGCAAACTAAAGACACATATATTTTACACATATGCACTCCTGAATGTCAGGAGGGATCACCTCCCTGCTTTTGTGTGCACACAACCTGAGGTACAGTATATCTTTAGCCACTGAGAGCGTCTCGTTTCGGAGTGACAGATGATAAATACATGGTGGTGTTACACCAGACACGCGTAAAGAAGCAGGCGGACAGCTTAAATATACCATTACTCACTGCTCTGAGCATCGCTACTGTATGTATCTACAACATGTAATGTATTTATTTAACTATCACTGTTTACTTTTGTGATTTAGAAAAATGTAAAATGCAAAACTAGTGGAAGTTCACTGTGACAGGTATGCTTTTAATTTGAAAAATCAGCATCCCTTTTTCTGTGATGATGACAGCTATATACATATACAATGCATATATGAATATCTATAAGGGCATGTATTACTGTATCAAAATTCAAAAAGACAAAAACAAAATGGCTGCAGTGTGTCTATGGCTGATAGAGAATAAAAATCTACAAATGTAAAGTGTTGTATCTTGTTCTATCTTCTGGATAGGTGCAGTTGTCTTGATTGCACACTTTAACATACAATATAATTCATATTTGTCAACTGTAGTTTAACAAAGAATGGTTTGAAAAAGATTAGCATTTTACATAATGTAGCTGCATGTTTTAATCTCTGTCCCTTGGACATGGGAGAGTCAGGGTAGGAGTGCGGAGTAGGCATGTGCTGCCCCCTGCTGGGCATCAGAGGTAGTGGAGAAATCTCAGCAGCAAATACTGCAGTGCATGATACCATAAGTTCAAATAATGTGTAAATATAAAACATTCAATTTTAGTGATAGAATAAGTATGGTACAATAGCAAAGCATAGATGGACCAAATATAAATATTAAAACATTTAATTCCAGGCTAGAGGAGTCAATCATTCCAAAGGCTGTATATGTACCAAATCATCTGACAACAACTGAAATGAAAAGAAAGATAAAAATCGTAAAAATCCTTTAAATGTGAGTTTTCACGTAAAGTTCAACAGTGTGGGAGTCTACCTGTGTGTATGTTTATTAAATGATGTGCACTCAGTCCTACAGTGTAAACATGGAGGCTACTTTCTGCTTCTAGCCTTTCGTTAAATAAATGACTAATATACGGTCAGTGGGGGGGTCCCCAGTCAGTTACAACATGTACAGCAAATGTACACAGTTAGCAAGGGTCTAGCTGGTTCACTGCAAAAACAAATCTTACCAAGTGTATATGTTTAATTTGTAGTCAGAAATATTTAATTCATTTTCTTGGAATAAGGCATTACCTCATATTTCATGACACTTAAGTCAATTTGTCTTCTGGACTCTTTGTTGGATTACATTCCGTAGTATGAGATCTCACATGGGTCCAAAAGGCGCATTTGGATGAGATGGATCGTGATTCTCTTGTGGACATGCAGGTCGATGGAGGTCCTCGGGTCTGGATACACTTCTCAAAGTGAATCTTGCTGGAGGTCAGCCAGTGGCGTTAAAACAGATAAACGACCTGACAATATTGAGTATAAATATTGAGAATAAATTATCAGTTTTTATTTGGAAGAAGTGACCTTGGAAGGAACGTTGTATAAACCAAACCCCACATTTTTTATTCATTCAAACACAAACTTTTAAATAGAAGAACCAAAGAAAAAATACATGTTCGAAGTGGTCTCTTGACTTTTTTTGTGGAGCTGTAGTCTTATCATGTAAGCCACCAAAATTGGTCCCTGGTTAAACTATCACCACATTTTGTTAATAATTTCAGCAAACACAGGTTAGAGCTGTTATGTTATAACATAGTTGACAACTATTATACTCTCTGTGACTGCTGGTTTAAAGAGCAAATAACTTCTAGCACGAGAGCAAAATATGTTAATATCAACTAATAGATCATGCCTGTATATCCTGAGAGTGCTTTAAAGGTCACATATTATTCTCCTCCTCAAACAGGTTAAAATAAGTCTCAGAGGTCCCCAAAGCATGTCTGTGAAGTTTCTTGTTCTAAATCCACTCTGATCCTGTATTTGATCATGCCTATAAACCCCTCTATTTCAGCCCTGCTCAGAACAGCTGTTTCTGTGTCTGTAGCTTTAAATATGTAAATGAGCTGTGTCTGACCACACCCCCTCTCTGGAAGGGCTCGGGTGGCTCTGGCTTTCTCACTAAATGCCCTATTGTTTACAGTGAGAAGGCAGACTCAGAAGGCAGAACAAACACCTAGCTATGGGAGTGTCACCCACCTGGGGGAGGAGTTACTGCCCTTTGTGATGTCATAAAGGGAAAATCTCCAAACGGCCTGTTTGAGCACACACTTTCAAAAAAGTGGAGCAGGCAGAAGACAGAGGATGGGTTTTTTTTTTTTGGGGGGGGGGTTTGTAGACGGACTAGGGACACATACGAGTGTGAGAATTGAAAAGTGTATTTTGCGTAATATGTGACCTTTAAGATGAACCAAGGATAACAACAAAATATTTTACATTTTACTAACTTTATCTCTAGTACACTCAACAGCTTTTGTTCATCTGTGCACTTTGGCTATTATCATCAAACAGCAACACAAAACAAGTTAAAGCTCATTCATTATCACACCTTGTAGCTGATTTATTTATTTCTTAAACATGTTTAAGCCATCCATTGCCGTGCTGGCAACAGGTACACACCATGTAAGGAGTGGTGCATTGCATTGACATCATACGTTTCGTCAAAAGAAATGTTTATCATATTTTCCCCTTATAAAAGAGACCAACCAATTGAAAAGAGCAAACAGTAAGGATGACGAAGACACTGGCATTGTCCTGCAGCGGTGAGGAAACCACCGGCTGTTAGAAGAAGCACTAATCGTTGAGGAAGACATCCCAACATTTATTGCAGTCCAACTCTCATTGGCTCCTCCTGCTGCTGTCATACCATCCTCTCGCCTGACTGCAACAACCTTCAATCCAACGCTTTTAAGACGCTTCCAGACTCACTAGCCCAACCAACAGGTTAGAACTGAAAAGTAGAGACTAGAGTGCCTTAGCTCCTTCTTCATCATCTCCACCTTCTCTGTGCAATTGGCGACGTAACATACTGGAAAATGACGAGAATAAAATGACAACAGAAACCCTACACACAGTCATACAATACAAGTACAAACATTATGAAAAATGAGCTCGTTTACACCTCATTTTTATACAAAATGCAAAGGGTGCTTCGGCAACCAGGAGTTTATTTTTCCTCTTTCTAAGATATGAGGTTCAGATATTTACGCTGGATGTTAACCATAAGTGTGTTATTGTTTTCACAACAGTTCCATGATACTGGAGGACATTAGAAACATCAGGGACAGGACCGATGCACAACATTAACGAATGCAAACAAACAAGTCAGTGATTCACAAATCAAATAGAAGATATTATAGTTTCATATGATCTTACTTACAATATTCCCCCCCATGCACTACACAATAGTCTTGGATTTTCATATATTACATATATGCTACATTCTCTTATTTCTTATTTCACTGATATAAAGGCAAACATATGTCAATGCAAAGTGTAAGCTGCTCTGCTTTTCTTTACATGTAAATTAGTATTATAGGTTGTAACCGGACGATTCAAACAGTATGACTTAGCTCATAGCAAACATAAATGTAGCTCATAAACTGGATTGGATTTAAACTCTTAATTCCTCTGTTAGCAAGAATAGCAATTTCAATGGTTGTTTTTGATCAACAATCACAATGTATATACATCACCAGAACTAAAGCAAGCTTAATTTTAACATTCTGATCTTCCAAATGTTTTTTTTAGATTTTTTTTCATATTGCACACACATAAATACACATAAAAATACAGAACTAATTTTTGGGAGAGGTTACAGTAGTAGATTTTTAAACATCTCTATTTTTATATTTAAAATGCATACCAAAACATCTTAAAAAACAAACAAAAAATATGCTGTCAATATGCTTGTTTCATAATGTCCAAATACTGTGTGCAGCCACCCAGCGGTGGATTCGAATGATGTCCATTAATAAAATGCTGTAACAGTAAAACGTATTGATACTTGTGTCCTGTGCGATGTCATGTCCTTATAGAAGGGTCAAAGGAGGGCAGTCATGGGTTGGCTAGTTGACTCCCCCGCTAGATTTGCTGATGGGGTTTTTTTTTTCTTTTTTTGAACACGTTGATATCCCATTAACTGTAAAGAGAGAGGGACAGAGAGAGAGAGAGAGAGAGAGAGAGAGAGAGAGAGAGAGAGAGAGAAAGTCATCAATGTCAATGTCAAATCTATGTTTTAATGGGATGCACAGATCACTGGATATACAGTATATGTTTTATTTAGACCCGAAAATCCTGTGTTCAATCATGAGTATTCTGCCTGTTTTCTGCCTAAAGAAAAAATTAGGCTGTAGACATTTTTTCATGATTGTGTCTAGATCGAAACCTTTGATTTAGGAGCTAACTGTTTCCTTTTCACCAGGAGGATGGTAATTCTTTCCCTAAACTAAACAAAGTTGATGCTCATATCTGCCATCAAGAGTCGCTGTGGGGCAGCTGATCAGTGGTGGAGTTTGTCATCTTGCAGTACGATCCCATATCCTAATACCTACAGTCTCTAAATGTACTATGGGAGGTAGAGAATTTTTCATTTATATTTAGTATATTTATTCAATTCTTTTGAAAAATGGCACTTTTGGAAATTGGGCCCGCGTCCCTCTGAAATCCTCTGCACGTCCCTGTTTCAAAACTGTGACAGCGGCAGTTTAGTTAAATGTTACAATAAAAGGGCCAACATACATCAGTGATGCAAGTCTTGGCAAATATAGAGTTTTAATTGAGCAGCAGACATTAGGACATGTGAAAGCAGGAAAAGCATGAGTGAAACTCAAACCTGGCACAAAATTGCTTTTGCATGCTGGCTGGCACACCTTCGGTACTTACAGGGATTTGTCCTTAGACACCCAAGGACCACCCACACAGATGTTCACACTTATTCAGCCTAATTAGAGCAATCCTGTATGGGTGGGACTGTACTCTATTCACATCTTTCTCCCTTTACTTCTGTTGCACCTGTGATGGCAAAACAGCTCACACCTTTTTGATTCACATGTAGCTAACGATCAGGTTGGTGACCTCACAGTACCTCCACCCATTTTCACCGAAGCAGAATTCAAGTTTTAATAAAAAGACGCTGCATGGGTGTGCACTGTGCAAGGTCTATTCATTAAGCTGCCATTAGTATGTTTTTTCCCACTATGACTAATCAAAGTGTGTTTTGTGTTATGTTCTCACTGCTCTTAAATGCTCCACCTTCAAAAAGGGACTAATTACTAAACTACTCCACCACAAAGTACCTGTTGAGACCTAACAAAGCAACCTCAACCAAACACGGCAGGTCCGTCAACTTTGAGATTGTCACTACCTCATGATGCATAAACTTTTAGGGGTGCCGCCTGGTTCTGTTTAAGGCTTTCTAAAATTAAAATATTAGATCATGCATGCAGCCATCGAGTGTGTATTTAGGATCCTTTTACAGGTTTTAGTTTGACAGTGAATCAGCTGGAAACATTAAAAAGTCAGACAACTTACAAGTGAAGTGCTAGGATAAACTTAAAGAGACCGTTCTGTACTTTTGAAGTGGGGTTGTACGACGTACTGTTTAATCCAAACGACCCTTTCTACAGCGATGCATAGCCCAGCTTTTGTCCAGTTTCACATAAAGGGGCCGAGCTGATCGCTATCTCTAGTGACTGATACACTTACAATTGACAAGTACCAAAAAAAAACCAACTTCAAAGATACCAAACAATTCCTCTGTGGAACCTAGAAACTGCTTATAAAATCTGGTGTCTTTTTAGCTATAAAAAACCCCACATTGTCAGCTAGAAATAAGAAGAAATCAGAATTTACTATGATTTAAACTGATACATTTTCTCCTTTTACTGTTGTAATTAGCACTATGCTAGGTTAGAAAGCTTTAGAGGCGTTTGAGATGGAGCTGAGTGAGAAGTGTCTTCTTAGTTGGTTTAAGAGGCTAACGTAACACCAGGCAACACTAACAGATGACAGTTTAAGCATACTGCAACATTAACCACTTATTAACAGATGTGGTTTGGCTTGACTGAACAGTGATGTCACAGTGTACAGACCACACATACAAAGGTGAGCAGTTCTGGAGGGTTGTGCTGTGTGTTTCTTACTGTCTCTTACTGGGACGGGATGCTGGGCGAGCCCGAGCGGTGGAAGTGGATGTTCTGCCACTTGCCCTCACGGCGGTGCCACACGCGGGTCTCCTCAGACTGCATGGTGCGGGGCATGCCGGCGCCGTCCATGTACTGGGTCAGTCGGATGTAGGCAATACACGCTGCGTTTTCCCCAATGAGGTGCACATGTGGGTTCAGGAGGATGGTGTGCACTGGTTTATTCCCTTTGGACAGGGCTGCAAGAGAGACCAAATGTCTGAGCACACGGAGCACGATTCAGTATCACATTTCATGTACAACAGCTACGTCTGAAGCCTTTTCCCATGAACTGTGAGGTTGGATGAGAAAAAACAGCTGCATGACTGTTTGAAAACAAAACACTGACCCTTCCTCAGAAAGAATACTGACTGAAACAAAAGCAAGGGGAACTGAAAGTCTCCATATGTTGATGTTGGATAGTGGACAAGCACAGGCTCGCCAAGTGATTGAGGTTTCTAGGACATATCTGGTTTATCTGAACTATTTTTACCCAGACTGGGGACATTCTGCCATTTATAGCAGTCATTATTCATTAGTGATTTTTCTTCTTCGAGGTTCATAATCTCAGCTACGACCTTGTGGTTTACCAGGAAATATAAACTGCAATCTGAGAGGACCGAACGGTGACATTGAAGTAACAACTAAGCAAACACCAACTAATGCATCATTTAAACTCTCTGTCAAGCAATCAACACGCTCAATATCCCTATCGCTGCATTCGAGGCCTTCTTTATACCCGAAACAAATATATAAACGCACAGTATGGCAACTGATTGTTGCTTCATACTCAAAGTTGAAATGTAGTTAAATCATAAACATTCTTCAGAAAATTAATGGGAATTTTGTTTTGAGTTGTTCTTCCAAGTAATGATCACAAAGTGATTTTTCCCCCTAGTGCCTCAAAGCAAACAACTCGTGTTTAGATAGTTCAGGACATACAGTGTAAGCAAACATGTTCATAATAACAAATCTTCTCTTAGTGGTCAGAGCAGCAGGAAAAACTTCAAAAAAAAAAAAGGATGTGAATAAACAATACACAACCTTCAATCCTTCCAAGGGCCATATTCTCTTTCCTAACAATTAGCTTTGGTAGAGAGCCAACTGGCTGGTTGTTGGAGCAACTTTGGCCCCACAGCAATCACCTCGGTGTCTCAATTCAGGGGCTGCATGCTTGGGAGGGGGCTTATTTAGGGACAGACGGCGTCACAGTGACAAGTCGAGTGGCTAACCCCATTTCGAAGGCTCCTTCAAATGTGGCTGACATATAATTCCTACTTTTCCCAGGCCACCAATGATGCATCCGGTGCATCCTGAAGTTCATTGCACTTCAATTCAAACAGGATGCCGGACTTTCTAGAGGCTAACGGTCAAACTTTTAAATCAAAGTAGTTGGTTTCAACCAAGTCGAAAAGCTAGCGATACAAATCTTAATAAAACAAACAGGGCCTTGAAACTTGAAAGCTACAGTATGTCACTTTTTTTCATTAAAATTTTAGTTCAAAACAAGATTTTTTTGATAATCGACTGTCACAAACAATATTAAACTAAAATGTTCCTTTGAGAAAACGTGAAGAGCCACCCTTCTTAGTTTTGAGTTTTGAGACAGTACTCAACCTATCTGAACCGAACAATCAATGAGGGTTAGCTTGCCCTTAGCCACTAAGCCAAATACAGCAACTCTGTGTGCAGAACTTTTGGATTGCTTGGCAACAGTCAACTTTCAAACTAGCATCATCCAGCTTCTACTTGACTTGTGTTTACAGCGCTCTCTCTCGCTCTCTCTCCTTTCCTCGGTGGGGTTTGGTGTGCATTCAGTTGGAATCGTCATGTTGCTTACTGTCACTTAAAATCATCTTTAATCCATTAAGTTATATGATGTTGGTTGTGTTAGCTAGTCACAGTGCAGCTGTTGAGATCGCTAGGCAACAAGGGGAGTTGGACAAAAGGGAAGAGCGGGAACAGCTGGTGATGCACACCAGAAATCCTTTGTGGACCAGACCGTCTCATGTCAGTCTATGAAGGCGGGGTCTTTCCACAGATGCTACCCCTGAATTGGGACACAGCTCGCATGTTTCAACTCTGGACAACAGTGGCATGAGCAAGCATTTCACATTGTGACTATTTTTTTATAACAAGCTCACCTTTCCGTATTGAAGACCCTTTTGGATCACACATTAATAGAAACAGTAATCTATTTTGAACTCACCATTTTCAAAGTAAAAGCGATGAAAGTCGTGTCCTTCCACCAGGTTGCCCAGGGCCTCGGGCTCAAAGGAGGTTAGACCAGGATCACAAATCTTACTGTTCGGCCCAAACAGAAGACAGAATCAGCAAAGGACGTAGGGAAATAATGAATTATCTGTGAGGTGTGTCTAAGAGAGAAGAACTTACGCATAGGACTCAAAGTCTCCGTTGTTGATAGACTCAATCAGCTGCTCAGTGACTTTGATAATCTCCTGTTTGCGGGCTGCAACACAGGGTGAAAGAACAACGTCAACAACACAAAGGGATGAAAAAGATGCTGGAGTAAATCTGTATTTCAGGCAAATGTAAGGTCTGAGTGCAGATAAAGAAAATCTGACATCAAATCAGCTTCAAATGGGTTCTACTCTACGATTTAGCAGGATTTAAAAAAGTATTAGAAATGGAAGGCGCTCGGAAAGAGTCATTACACAATTGCCTTTTTCTTTAATATCTGAGAAACAGAAGAAGAAGAAAGAAAGCCTCCCATGACTAATAGTGATATCAGGCAGGATAATGCATGATGACACGATTCCTTTCACCCAACAAAGCTCAAATTAACAAAGACAAACCAATGCTCAGATGCAAGTATTCAGTACAAAAGCAGTTTTAACTAAATAATGTTGACAATTACCTTTATTGTTATTGGTGCAGGCTGGGGGATATTAAAGAAATTACTTAAATTGTGCAACAAAAAGACATGTCAAATAGAAACCAAATGTAAAAATCTTTAGCGCCTTCAAAGCCATGAGCTACAACAGTGTGTGTGTCTGTGTGTCAGTGTGTGTGTCTGTGTGTGTCTGTGTGTGTGTGTGTACATGAGGGTGAATGTAGATACGATTTTTAATCCGAGTCATGTTTTCATCAGTCAAACAGGAACATAAATAGAGAAGTGAGAAGATCATCTTATTTCCAAAAGACAAATGAATCATAATGAGATCATCTTCAGATCATTTAACGGAGATAAAACTGGAGAGATGGAGCGGATAGTTCGGGGTCGAAAACAGAGGGTCACTTAAATGGAGAAGGGGAATTTGGAATCCATCAATCCCAAGCGTGGTCTGTATCAACACAGGATATAATCAGAACTCCAGGAACTCAGGATTTTAGACACTTCCCTCTACTGATGACTGTGTAAGAAGAGGGAAACAAAACAAAACAAAACAACCCCCCCCCCCCTTCTCAAAACTGTGGAGCAACTTACTCTGAACTGAGGAAGTGGGAGTCTGCCTTGAGTCAGACATCTGTGAGGAACGGCTCTTAGAGCTCAAGATACCGCTCACTAAGCTGCCAAGGCGGATCGCTGTCAGAGGTCACATGGACGGGAGTGTGTGTATGTGTGTGTGTGTATGTGTGTGTGAGTGTGTGTGTGTGTGAGTGTTTGGTCGGGATATAACAGAGATCAGGAGAAGGTAAACATTTTGATGCATGTAAAAAGGAAGGAACAGGGGGATGGAGAAAAGATTTATATTTCCAACAAAACAAAAAGACAGGGAAGACAAAAAACAAAGAACAGAAAAACATTAAGTGAAAGTGCAAACATAAAAAAAGAAGAGAGAACATAACTTCAATAAACAAGCAGTGTTAACGAATAAGAGCATCAACATTGGACATAAGACGAGCCAAACTTAAAAATGGATGAATTGGACAGAAAAGGAGCATGGCGGTCTGCATTGTGCACGATGAGTTCAGAGCCGAGGGGGCTTTGCAGTAGATAACTTGCTGCACATTTTACATCTGTTTCAAAATGTTGAATATAAAGACGATTTCAAAGGAGATATTAGTCTGATTGGAAAATGTGGGACCATACTGTTGAAACCTCACAGCAAAGAAGAGAAGTGAAAGTTTCTCCTTCAGAAGAACAAACATGTTGCCCTACCTTTCACATCCTCGTCCTCTATGGTGGTGTTCGCACTCTCAATGGACTCCTGAAGAAGATACAGACATAAACAGATGTTAATAACAGCAGTAATATGAAAATCTTATTTTTGTTTCAATACGACAAACAGAGGGAGAGGAGGGATGTAAAGCAACTAAAGTCCCAGGTTGTGTTTAACTCAGGGATGCTGAGATTACATGATTAAGGTCTTTGACCCTCAGGCCACCAGGAGGCCACGTTGAATTTAATTTACTAATAACTGATTATACAACCGAACATGAGGAAGGAGAGGAGATTTATCTTTGAAATTGTTATTTAAAAAAAGAAATGCAAAAAGCCTACGATACATGAGAAACTTCTTTGATTTACACATCCAAAAAAAAGTTTTGACATTGTGTAAAATGTGAAGAAAGCACAATGTGATGATTTTCAAAATATTGAAGTCCCTTAATTAATTGAAAACAGCACATAAGACAACATATCAAATGATGAAACTTTAATCTGAAGAGTCACAATTTGAAATTCTGATTGGAGATCATGAGCACCGTGTGAGCACCAGGATAAAGACGGGAGGGGTTGAAAAGCCAGCATCTGTGACGGTATGGGAGTGCATTAGTGCACATGGCATGGGTGACCTGCACATGTGTGAAGGCACCACTATCGCTGAACCATATATAAAGGTTTCGAGCAACATCTGCCGCCAAGTAGTCAACATCTGTTTCAGGGAAGGCCTTGTATATTTCAAGAACACAATGCCAAATGTCAACATGTCTCTGTAGTGAAAGAGTCCAGGGGATGACCTGGACTTCCTGCACTCCTGACTTGTAACCAAATGAAAAGAGCCTGAACATTTGAACGGCTGAAATCCTACATTAAGGAAGAACGACACTCCACTGCCAGATTTAGAGCAATTGGTCTCCTAAGTTTCCAAAGTGTTGCGAAAAGAAAAACTGAATCCACTGTTAGTACGAATTTTCATAAATTCATTCATCTTGGTAACTTTGTGAAATGTATTATTCAAGTCTGCCTACCACGTGTTAACACTCCTACCTTTAGGTGTCTGAAGCTGTAACCGTATATGAGCGAAGCACCTAAGTAGTAGCAGATCTATATATGGAGAGGAGCCAACTATATGTTGTCAGCAACTGTTTGCTAGACAGAGAGTCTACATCTGTTAGTATACAAATCAGTGTCATGTCATCTTCATTGTTTTATGGTAATGCACCCAAATAGAAAGGAATTTGTGGGTTGCACCTTTTGACAGAATATAAGCAGCACTGTGAACACTGTTACTCTGTCAGCACTTTGTCAGTCAAGTGATTTGGAAGCGTGCTTGTTTGATGAAGTTGTCTGACCTCGGCCGATTAAATGGTGTTATAATCTCCAGTCTGTTTCACGATTTCTTTATTAGATTTATACATTAGAAACAAACCCCACCTAACATCCACCAAGTGGCAAACATGACGCTCAGCCAAGTTACTTTAAACGTGTTGCTGGCATGAAATTCAAAATGGACACATAATTTTCCAAAAACAATTACATTTATCAGTTTCAGCTTTTGATATGTTGTTGTGCTATTTTCAATTAAATACCCAGTTTCAGTGTTTCACAAATCATTCCCTTTTTATTCACATTTCACACAATGACCCGACTTTATTCTGCAGATGGCGGAGTAATAAAATGCATGCATACATAGAAGCACGCATATAAAGATTTTTTTTGTTTTGTTTTTGTTTGTGGTTGTTTTACCTTATTTCCATCCACTGGGTTGTGGATCACGGTTGTCTGTGGTTCCTGAAGAGAACAAATAAAAAAACATTTGTGGGGGTAAAAAAAATAAATGTAAAGACGATTAGTGAAGGTATGAAGGCACAAGAGTTTGTTAGAGGAAATGTGTTTGTGTGAATTTTGAAATTAGAAGCTCGACAAAGTGGTTTTGTACTTTTTCATTTTATTTAAATCTATCTATCTATCTATCTATCTATCTATCTATCTATCTATCTTTTCATGCATCCATATGTACACATGAATAAATTATCTTGTAAAAATGGATCTGATATAAATGAAATTAAAACCCCTTTTTCTCCCTCTTGCTACTCCCCCCCCCTCTCTCTCTTCCTGCATGATATTGTTACTTAATGTGTCTCTGTGTCTGCCTCTGTCTCATCAGCTCTCAGCTGTTGTAATCAGATGTCTGAGCTTTTGTGGAATCGATCCTGATGACCCGCTCAGTCCTTCTAATCACTCTCCACGATTACACTAGATTACAACATCAGCAGCTTGCATCTGTGCGTTCATCTGTGTGTGTACATGTACTTGTGTGTGTGTGAGTGTGTGTGTGTGTGCGCGTGCGTTTGTGTGGGTGTTTTAGCATTATGATGGAGAAAGAAAGGAGGATAGAGAGAGAGAGAGAGAGAAAAAGAGAGATGCCATGTGCCTGTTTTCATGCGCAATCATCTCGAACAGCAAATGGGGGGGACAGAAAGCCTTTGACATCATGCACAGCAGCAGTCATGTGGCCTGACGTAGACAGCCAGTCAGCAGACAACATGCGCAAGCCAATGAGTGACGACCAAAATCCCTTGGGAAGGTTGCATCTTAATGAGCCTTAAGGAGGCGACATCCTCGCACTCCAGCCATGCACAGACATACTACACGAGCAGCAAACCCTAAATATCTTTACTTATATCATATATATTCAAAACCGAAAGCATGCGAGCAGCAGCACATTTTGTGACATAAGAGGAGCACATGAATAGTGTGTAAGGAGAGAGGAGAGAGGAGGGGTAGTTGCAGAGGAGAAGAGGGCAAGGAGGGGGGGAGATGGCTGTGAGGTTGAGGTAGAGGTTGCCCCTAACAACAGATTTAAAACTAACCGAAGAATCCCAATCCAAACATGTGTGTAAAGGCTTATAGTTCAGTTCAACATTAACAAGTAAATCCAAAAGTGGCCGGTCTTTGTATGCCCCATGCACGCTCTGCTAATTCAGATGAATGAATGGACACATCTGCTTGCATTAAGAATAGCTTCTTTTTCATGTTTCGCTCCCTCCCAAATATGCTCAAGCTGCTCCATGATGCGCAGCCTAAAAAAAGCTTTTACACACTTTTTTAAATTCAGGGATAAAAATGAGGTAGACATGTTTCACACCGCGGTTTCACCTGGTTTATTTCTGTTATTCTTATACCCCTGGTAAGGAATTAATGTGTTATCAAGCCAGGCCGAGGGGCAAACAGGACACGATCTGGCTCTGTGTGAAAGGGAGAACCTGTACCTCCTCCACAGTGGGGGTGGGAGGTGTGGAGGTTTTTGAGGATGGAGGTGCAGCTTGTTGGTGAGGATGTGTGAGTATACCAGTGCAGGGGCAGGGCCAGTGTCTTTAGGACTGGTCACTGTGTTGGCTTTGTTGTTGACCTGCAGGGGGCAGTGTAGAGGGGACATGATAGGCATACACACTTCTTCTTCTTCTCAGACACACACAATCTAACAAGCCCTGACTTCAGTCCATTCCAGAGAGATTGTCCCAACTCGTGTGTCCCATGGTGGGATATTTCTGAGTTAACCAAGACCTTTTAATACATTTTGTTTGTGATCTTTGGACCTATAATGAACTGGTTTTTGTGTGATGATGCATCAGAAAATGAAACACTTCTCTTAATCCTAGCTCATCACATACCGACTCTTAAGAAACTGACGGGTGTTCATAATCTCTCCTTCTAATGTCTGATTTAAGGTCCTTCTTTTGTCAAAATCCTGCTGATGTTGAGAAGTTTCATTGGAGACGGATCGGCTGCAGCGTCCAATCAATGAGTGATATATAAAGGGGCGTGTCTATCAGTAAAAAAAGACCTCCGTGAAGTGAGACGAGGTCCGCATGATGAAACAGAGCAGCAGCTGATCGAGGGTTTCTGCCTCGTCACTGTCAAGACTCTGTTGACTTTTTCTTTTCCATTCATCAACTGCGTCCATAGCAACCGTCTGCTCTTCATGGCAACGGCGTGTTCTTAATAACAACGGTCTCTTATGGAGGAATTCAGACCGTTGCTGTGTGCAACCGGCCAATCAGAATGAAGTATTTAACACAGCTGTGTAGTTAAAAAAAAAAGAGTTGTACGTATAACGTTTAAAAATACAATTACATTGTTCTAAACTGGAACGGCAGCTCTGGAGTTTTGTGCAACTCGTATTTATTTCTTGAATTTTCACATCACCACTCACGAGAGATTCAGCCCTTGATATTTTTGTCTCAAATGTCAATGCAGCGTACTTCTTGTTTGATTGTTTTGGGTCACATTTTTAGAGCGAGGATCTCCCTGGAATGGATCTCATAGTGTGACATACTGTACGCCTGAGTCTGACCCAAACACAGTGACACTGATTCAAACAAATCTATGTCGAGGTCCAGTCTCAAATCAACACTCACTTAAATGCAAACAGGCACGCAGAATTAGTCAGTCACACAAACCTCTCAACACGCACACACACACACACACACACACACACACACACACACACACACACGTGTTGATTTCAGATTGGACTCCTCCCAAAAACACAAGGAAACAAGGAAAGAGCACATAGGTGGCTCTGTGGTGAATGTTAGGTGACTACAGAGGATTATTATATCAATTTTAACAGGATGATAAAATAAAACCTAGATGTGATCTGCTGTGTCACAAGGAAACCTGTGAAATTAAGCTAAGCTAAGAAAACAACACCCATTACCCATTGCTTGGGTGACCGTCCCTGAATGATGACGTCACTAAGTGCACAATGCATTATAAACTGTCCAGAAGTGCTTGTCAGACACCGAACGTTCCAACAGACAAAATGCAAGTAACAAACTTTTCTTTTTTTTTTTACAATGAAAAGTAACTCACCTTAACGCCATCTTTATTCTTGTTGAGCAGACTTTTGGCTGCTGCAGGAGTAAAAGAGAAAACACTTCAGCATGAGAGTTCAACAGCAGAGTGGTGAGCCTGAGGCTAAGCTAACATGCAGCAAGCATATCAGTCAACTGTGCTTATCTTCAAACTCCAGGTGCAAGATCCAACTGCAAAATCCATAATGCAATGCAACACATTCTTTAGAACAAACATCCTTATTTGTGCAAGGCTGTTTTTTCCAACTACGTAATACTTCACCTGTGAGGGGGCTGAAGGGGGGTGGGGGTATATTTAGCAGGTAATGAGACACATCATCTACCTAGCTCCGACAGACTCACGCAGCATTCTCAAACTGTAATTTGCACACATACACATGCACTTAACCCCTTGTACCCACACATACACTTCCAACAACCTTCTTTGTACTTCATTGTATTTCTCATGGCATAAAAGGAATCCAAAGAAAACTAGATTGCATTTCAAAATTCATGCTGTATCATTGCCGGAGTTTAATTCTGATCCCAAATTGGCACTTTTGGGAGCGTGAGGTTCAATAGCGTTCCCATGAATACCAAACAGCTCGTCCTCATGCATATATGTGATCGGCTATTAGACTAGAAGGTAAAGCCTAAACAACCCTGCAATATTTCTCCATCATTCCAAATATCTTACCTCCAACGGAAACCACAAATCCAAACAAAAGAAGGAAAGAAAAGTGAAAAAAAAAGAGGAAGAAAATGATGAATAAAAAGAGACACAAGTGCACTAATGTCTTTTACTGTAGAATGAGAAAATAAGAGCAGGCTGGAAGGAGTCAGAGAAAAGAGAGATAGGTCAAAGTAAAATGCATGCAAAAGGTATGATAGAGCACAAAATATAGAAAGAGTAAAGAGGTAACAGCTAGAGAGATACAGGTGATGACTGAAACCTGTGTGGGGACGTCTTCTTTAGCATATAGCAACAGAGCAAAGGCATTCAAAAACAGGTCAAATAGTAATATGACTCATTTTGCAGTACTTCTGATCTATTCCTAATTGCAAAATGCATTTCTCACAAAGCACCTGACCAAATTGTCTTTTAAATAATCACGGCTAGTAAGCATTTTAAGCTTCATGACTTTAAAGACTTTTGTTTTTTAGTTTTAAAATCGTGTTTGGGAAACCAGGTCTTGAACACCAGGCCGAGAGAGACATACCTGAGAAGTTTCTTGTGACCAGTAAAGTGGTCAATATGGCTCCCTGCAGCAATAAGAAAAAAAGAGGGAAAGAAGGAGGTAATGATGATGAAAAGGGAGGAAGAGACAGAAATAGGAAGATTGATTATCCGGGTTAAGCAAGAAGGAGAAGCACAGCAAAAGGGCAACTTGAAGGTTTTTGGACAACAGGTCATCATTTCTAAGTTCCCCTGCAAAGCGTCGAGTGAGGGACACAGAGAGAGAGAGAGAGAGAAAGAGAGAGACGGCTGGATGGATTGTCCTACCTAAATAGATACATGATGGATTGCCAGATTGCCTCACCTTGAGTTTCCTCCTGGCGTTGAATTTCTTCAGGCACTCCACAGTCTCCTGCCTGTGCATCATGGAAGCTACAGTGGACCGTTGCTGCGGGAAGAAGAAGAAGAGATTTGAGGATTAGTGGAGGATGGAAACAATAGCTGGGAGGGATGTATGGACGATCGGGTGTATGCAGTGATTCTGTGGAGAGACATCTGTACTGTGCAAGTTGGATCTTGTTACAAAACTGAAACTAGTGCGGCTTAGTGGTACCAAGCGCCAGTGTTGAAAGATGAAGCCAATGCAGCTTGCGGCTGGTTGCACAAGCCCAACAAGTCCCTTCAACGTCCATGTTCAAATATCTCTTTTTACAGTAGAAATAGCTGTAACTCCAACTCATCCCCTGATACTAAATTGATCAAAAGTTAGTATGTGACGGTATTTTCAACATGGCGACCGGCAGCATTTGCTTTAGAAGTGCGCTCCAGAAACAAATGGGTGACATCACTGAAACTACGTCCATGTTTTTAAGAGTCAATGCTTGTTACCTATGAAAGTGAAATCATCATCAGTGTGTGGGTTTCTGTGTCTCCATCTAAATATCTCTTTTATGTGTTTGTGCCACTTACGCAGATCCAAGGATGTTTAAGCGCCTCTGCGGCAGTGATGCGTTTACTGGGGTTGATGGTCAGCATCTTGTTGATCAGATCTTTGGCCTCAGGAGTAACAGTGTCCCACTCTGGGGATGGGAACTGTTCAGAGACAAGACAGGGCCCCCACTCATTAAACAGACAAATCTTAAAGGGTCAAATAAACAGCACACTACTGGATACTCTGTTTGTAAGGCGGCAAAAGAGAGAAGGAGCAAAGAAGACAAGAGTGAAAATAAGTAAACAACTCTGAGGAGAAGAGAGAACCACAACACAGAAAATACAGTATGTCTTCAAATTACATAAACCTGCATTATGGATGACACTTTTGATTTCATATAACTGTCAGAGGTGATGCATCCAGCTTAAAAAAAAAAAAAAAATCATCAAGGCTATGATTTACTAGTTTTGGTTCCTTGAAATAGTGTTGAAGTGAAGACCACACTAACCGAGACCGGAGTGCTCCGAGACTGAATCAACACCAAGACAATGAGGGATCAAGGCCGAGTCAAGACCAGGACCAAGGAAGGGCGAGAACGAGACAAGACCAAGACCATAAATATCACTGAAAAATCATCAACTTGTGTGCATGGGGCGTGTCACTCACTCAGACCGCAACACCGGGAAGGTTGCGGCCATAACCAAGGGTAAAAAGGGTTTTCTTCTTTTAGAAAGGGGCTTCCAATCAAAAGACTGGAAAAAATAGCCAATCAGTGGTGGTCTTGATTTAAAATCAGAGTCCGCCCAGTCTGAGACCGAGACGGGGCTGAGTAAATATGCTATCGATTCCAAGTCGAGGCCCAGACCTTCAAAAAGTGGTCTCTAGACCGGTCTTGAGACCAAGACCGACTTGAGTACGACAACACCACCTTGGAAGCTAACATTAGCATTTAGTTCCTTTTATTCTTATAGTGAATCAGATGATAACAATATTAGTTTGTTTTGTCTTCATATGATTATGGAAAATGTTTGCATACATCCCTTTTCAAATCTACCTGATACATTTTGATTTTCAATCTGATATAATGTCAAATCTTGGAATATAAAACAAAGGTCATGACCCTGACTCATCTGACAAGCTAAGTGTAGAAACCTTTTGTTTTAAGCAAAATGATGTAAGTAGAAAATTAAATGTTATTTTTCGGGTTTTTGAACCACATTCTTTTTTAAAGTCCAGCCTTTGTTTGCGCTGTGTGAGCGTGAATTCTTACATCATAGGCCCCAGCCTTGATTTGTTGGTAAAGGCGGTGCTGGTCCTCATCCCAGAAAGGAGGGTAGCCCACCAGCAGGATGTATAAAATCACACCTAGATGGATGCAACATAGTGTAAAGCACGGTGTTAGAAACACAGCATGTTAACAGACATGATCAATATAATAGTCAATACTGTTCCCCTAAATATAAAAAATACACTCAATCAAACAACATAAAACATGTGAACTTCTTGTGTTGGTGCTTAAACACTTCATGAGCGATGTGCTGGATAGCATCGGCTTTGGTTTTAATAGTTGAGTTATCCTTTTAAATTTGAATATCTACTTTAATGTCTCTTTTTCCCTCGTCTTGATGACGTGTGAGTTTCAGAGACTATTAGTTCCAAAGTGTAGAACAAATTTAGGAACAGCTTCGTCCCAGCAGCCACTATACAGCAGAAGAAGTCGTAGGATATCTCTTTGTATCATGTATTGTTTTTGTTTTTCTCTTCTTCTTTTTCCTTTTTGCTGCCTGATGTGGTTGTTGGAAGTTTTTAATGAAGGTCTTGTGTGGAGGGACAGAGATAGCAGGCTGGGACGCTGATGTCATGCTTCTTAATGGTTCTTTTATTTATTTATTTTAAAGGTTTAGGCTTTGTAACTTTGAAAGATCATCTTGTCAAACAAATTGTACGATTGGAATCTGCACACTTTATGAACGTCTGCATTTTTACCCATGGACCGTGCATTTTGCACTTTGTATGTTTTATGTATTTTCTGTGTTGTACTACGTATATGTGACTCTCCCTGCAATCAAATTTATTTACGGGTCGGAATAAAGTAACCTGAACCTGAAAAACTTCGAATTGATGAAATGTGTTGTATAAATAAACTTGCCCTGCCTCCTTTTCTTGAGCACAGTTGATCTCATTTTATCCAAACAGTTTACATCATACATTTGGCTGGTTCTCACTGTGAACTAATGTTAGTGTGGATCTTTGTGAAACGGGGTCCAGGTTGCGCTTTTGTTTCTTTTTTCCATGTTTTCGGGCCGGACTGAAGGGGAACTGTAATTAATGGAGGTATTGAAACTTAGACACAAATTAATAAAAAAGAAAAAAAAAAAGAAAAACAAGTACAACTTGGACTCCTTCGTTCATACCAAATAGACGTTGAAAATACGGTTTATTGCACACAGAACATTTATAGCGCTGACATCATTCAAACAGTTGCATTGACAGAATCAGAATGTTATTTACCACAAGCCCACATGTCCACCGGTTTCCCATATGGGTCTTTCCTCAAAACTTCTGGGGACAAGTAACCCGGAGTGCCGGCAAAACCTAAATGGTAGGCAGGAGTGGGCAGTTCAGTGAGTAGTCTTCTCGTCAACTAACTGAGACTGATTGATCAACTGATTGGTTGGTTGCTTGATTCAACAACTGATTTAGGGTTGAAAACTGGATGGATGAATACTCACCAAACCATGCCTGCTGGTCCCCCTGCACCTCGATAGCAAGCCCAAAGTCAGCCAACTTGACCGCCGCCCCCTTCAGCTTACTGGCCAATAGAAGGTTCTCAGGCTGGGGGGGGCGGAGTCAAACAGGTTAGAGGTGAGCGGTCACACGCTCTGGGAACAGGCCACCCACGGACACAGATCTAAAATCAGATTAGCCAAACCTAATCCTAATATGAACTATTAGGGGTCACGATGCTAAACTGATCTCAGATCCGCATCTGAGGCGACTCCCTGACAACATTAATGTGGACGAAATCTCTGGGAGACGACGGACAGTTTCCACACTGGAGCTGAGGACTTGCTCCCGCAGTCTCATGGATTCTGAAAGCGGGAATTGGTAGCAAAAACGCTTAATCCACTTTTAAAATCCATGAGTGGGAACAAAGTCCACACAGCGGGGACAAGGATACAGGAGGGAGTGGTGGTGTAACAGGAGACGTGGGTGTAAAAACAAGTGACTCAGCCACATATGGGTAAAACACACACCGCACACACACCGCACACTATCACAGTTTAGCACAATCGTCAATATATGCAAGCCCCCAGCAAGCACTTGGGCACACACACACACACATACCCACTCTCAAACAGCCACACACACTATGGACACAGGTGCAGAAAGGTCTTAGCTAACCTAAGGCCAGTTAGACAGTGTGCTCTCATGAATAATACATATCCTAACATTTAGAAACGCAGACAGCCTGTGAGCAGCCGGTGTGTGGCAGACATAGGACTCAACAGGAACGCTAACTGACAACTGGACACATCTACATCCTCGCTTATATAATTATGCATAAATTCTCCTGCTATGTGGACGTCTTGCTTAAAAGGGTTGACAGAAAGGTTGGTCATCTCTAAAACCATCGCAGTGTTTCCAATCTTTTTCTCTTCATTTCTTACACATAAAGATAATCTTTCTCTTCTCTGCACTTAGAAATGATTTTAGAGTTTATGAAAGGACGACTATTAGAATAAATGTGACCTCTTAAAATCTTTCACATCTCAACATAATGTTTACAAAATTATCCTAAAGGAGATCATTCCTGAGGTTCTTGCTTGTTGTTGCTTCTAGTCCTGTCACAACAGGGCTACACTCAGATTATCACACACATACATTAAAGATCCCATATTGTACTTATTTTCACCTTTCATGTTGTCAGTCTGTGAAACCTAAAGAGTGGCTTTGCAGCTCAAAAACGTCTCTCTATTTATATTTACTCCTTATGCCGACGTCAGTAAAAACCCTCATTTCAGCCTGTGTCTGAAACTGCTTGTTTCAGCTACTGTCTCTTTAAGGCCCCCCCTCCCCATATGCCCACTTTCTTCTGATTGGCCAGCTCTCGAGAAGCCTTCCAGTGGGGCAGAACACTGAAGAGCTGCCAGGACTCCAGTGTTGGGAGGAGAGAATATACATAAAGGTTTCAGAGGCTTAGCTAGAGTCTCGAAGCCGTCTTGTGTAATTCTTGGTTTCATACGGGGAACTACCGCTGCAGAAAAAGTAATTCAGCATACTCTGCAGACTCATCCTGAGATTACTCCAACATACATTTACCATCATGATCTGAAACTGTGCCCACGTATAGTGTGGACATCCTGCACTGTGACACTACATATGAGATTTAAAATGGGGATAAGTCTTATAGGTCAATATATGATGCAAGCATGCACTCTGCAGCATTATTACAGGAGGATCCTTAAGCTTGATATTGACAGCACTGGTATAAAGATTGAACAAGTTTTTATGCAACACAGATTGTAGAGCCAGTCTTAATGTCTTCGTAGTACTGAATGTTTGAATCTTGTTGCACATTAAAACTGCAGCCAATTCAAAATCTTTAAACGACAAAAGCTTTAAGACCATCTACAAGTGAAAATGATATAATATGAGAAATAAAAAATGTGAATGATTCTCAATTCCACTCACACTGTATGTGAAAGCAAAGAATTATAGCTGTATTTCATCAAACAGGTTGTAAATAAAAAAAAAACTAAGAGTTGGATGCAGAGGGTGGGGGGGGGTCATGGGGGGGTTCTTTCTGAAATGTTTTCATCTGTTGTACAGAGTCAGGGCTGGGCATGGCTGCAGCCGTGGCAGCGCTCCTACAAACCTTTAGATCCCTGTGGACAATCCCGTTAACATGGCAGTGATGGACACTCTCGAGGATCTGCTGTATGCAGTGACTGAGGGGAAGGAGAGTCGGGATTGTGATGGCACACACGGAAGAAAAGACAGAACAAAAAAAGAAAAGGAAGAAAAGCAGAGAAGAAGAGATGGGGGTTATTAATTGAGGGGGAAGAGAAGAGGAAGCATCCTCATAAAAAAGTATCATGTGCCACCGTCATTACATGTCCTATATGCGATGCGGTTCTTCCTGACGGATGACATTATGCCACATGAAGGTATGTCATCAGTCACAAGATTTATTGTATTGCCCTGTATAGATAAACCGTAGCTATAGAGTGTGTATGACATAAAAAGCAAAAAAAAACACATACATTATCTCGGCCCTGCTCGCTCCCTCTCTCTGTGTGTCTCTGGGGAGGCAGTATTCCAACATAAAGCTGGCAGCGTAAGGTAGGCTGTGTATGATTAATACTGCAGGCTATATGTCATTAATCACCTTTATAAATAACTCCCGAGATGCTTCAGAGACAAGGCAGCTGGATCACACCTTCGGAGGCGACCATATGTGAAAGGCTATATAACGGCTGCCGCACTCAGTGTGTGTGTTTGTGCGTGTGTGTGTTTGTGTTTGTGGGCGTGTGTTACCTGGCATCAGCCTCACTGTAGTACTCCCTGGCTACGATGTCCTCAAAAAGCTCCCCTCCTGTCACCCTACAGAGGGACAGAGAAAACGTTGTAGTGGATTTTGTTTTATTTTATTTGTCTTGGTAAATGAAAAAAAAAAATCATTGTTTTTGTAACTTTACATTATCATTCACATATACCTCATTCATTAAGATTTCCCCCAGTGCATTGGATCAAGTAAACGATAGATAACAGGATACATTTCAGGGGTTGTCACGATACCAGAAATTTTAACTAGTCATAGATAATAATAAATAAAACTGATACCTTTTTCAATACCAAAGAAACAAGAAACATGAGTCCTAAGCACCCAGAAATGGGTAGAAATTGTTGCATTACAGCACTCTCTCTCTCTCTTTTACTCGAAGCAGCTTTCTCTTTAAAAGCTTTATGTGCGATTTTTTGATCCAGCAGATGTCGCCCTTGAGCACCAGCATGAAACCAAAACAACTCGCGCTGCATTGTTGTGTTAGCATGCTAATGCTAGCGATCTTTATTATGCTGGTATCTTCACACTGCATGTAAATTTACCTGAAATGAGCGTGATCTAGAAACACAGTTAATCAGTGAGTACAGTATGTTATTCTTCTTTTCTCTAGTCCCTCAATTAAACAACTTTTATACGTGAGGGGAGGAGTCAGCCGGCCGTCCCGGCGATGTAAACAAACTGAAGATAGGACTCTGAAAACTCTGAAAACATCACAGACAGTGGGACTCGGGTGTTACACCCATTGTAGACAGTCATGACTCACAGAGTTATTTTCAGAGGATATACTTGATTTCTATTATATTTAAGTGTGAAAAATCAAATATAAAGCCTTTAACAAATAACTGAAGATCTGTAGTTTTTTTTAACTACTTTTTGATGCTGTCGATCATTCAAATTAAGGAGATTGTATCGTTCTAAAATACGTAATATCCGAGAGTATCAGAGTATCGTCGGGCTTTCTCGCTCCATGCATATTGTTTACGGTGAAAGGGAAGACTCAGAGGACAAAGAAACACCTTTGTGATGTCATGAAGGGAAAATCTCCAAACGGCCTGTTTCAGCACACATTTTCTGAAAAGTGGAGCAGGCTAAAGATGGAGAGGATGGCCTTTTCTCATCATTGGGGGGTTTGTTGACAGACTAGAGACACATATTAGTGTTAGAAAAACATGATGAAATGTATATGTGACCTTTAAGGACGACCCCCACACAACAACTAAGATATGAATTTACAAAGAGCAAAACAAACCGAGCTAGTTTGACATCTACCAAGAATATTTCTTTGGTTGGCGTTCACTAATACAAATCCAGGAGTCAAAAAGGAAGGTAAAACAGAAACAAATAACAAAGAGGAAGTGTGTATCTTTGACAGCGTGTTACTCACAGATCAAACACCAGATAGTGGAAGCCCTCCTCTGATATGCTGTCATGGAGTCGTACTGTCGAGGAGATTTAAGAAAAACACAAACAAAAACAGAGGACAGGAACGCTGTGTGAAACGGAGAGCAGTCAACACTTGAAAGCCAAATCCTTGTTAGTCTCTCTTTCTCTTTGGCACCGCTGTGGATCAGAGATAAGTAATAAATTGTCAGGCATGATGCCAGGAATACAGAAGTAATATGAAAAAGGAGCAGTGTGGATTACAACAGGGGAATAAAGTAGAAACATTAGTGTGCAATTTACAACATATTCCTCTTCTTCTTCTACTTATTGTGATGATTCATGATGTGGATGCAGTCTGAAACATGTAGCAGCACAGTCACAATCCTCACTCTCACAGTGTTTGAGGTCTTGAACTTTTATGAAAAACAACGACTGAAAGAATTCTTAAACAGAGCCAACATGGTTTGAAGCAGTTCCCACTGAGCTGTGAGTTAGGGAAGTATTTACAGATGTGTGCTCTTGGCGTCACAACAACAAATACCTCATTTAAACCAGAGCGTTCAATGGTTTATTTTTGTAAATGATCAGGATAATGCACATAAACGTCTCATTATGTCCAATACAAAGTAAAACGATAACATTCAAGGACAGCGGTCCTTGGACAGTTCACAGGTGGTATTTGAACCCGGGCTGCCCGCTTTGAGGACTATAACCTCCATACATGGGGGACTGGCACTGACCCCCAATTTCCACATACTCCGAGCCCGTCTCCGCAGCGTGCCAGCAGCGCCACGACGCTCTGCTCCGTTTCAAATATGCAGCGAGTCTAATTTCAATGGAGGACGCTGCAGGCATTCGTCAAGCTCGACAGAGTATGACAACCCGAACAGGAAGTCAGACGAGGAAGCGCACAGAGCGTCCAGTCAATTTCAAAATAAAACACAATATACCGCCTGGCGATCGTGTTTTTCATCACTTTATCAACATTACGTCAAAACAGGAACCGAATGAACAACAAAGCATCCTCAGGAAGGCTAAGAAACATGTTGTTTACATGTTTTTCTCCTTATTCCTGCGTGATCTTGTCGTTTTCCTGTGATGTGTTGACAGCTGATCATGGCTGCGCTCACGTTCCAGAAACAGATCTCGTGGGGCAGGACAGTGCGCAGAGAGTATGTGGGGATTAGGAGTAACCACTAGGCTACCTTGCGTCCCCCAAATATTTTTTTTTTTTAATGTTTTTGCAAATCATCACATTCTGTTTCTATTTAGCACATCTTTAAAGATATTGGGTTAAATGTGTGTTTTTTTTCTCCCCAGATTTTTCCAGATGGTAAAGCCCACGAGCGTTCAGTCAAAGGTTAAAGCAATCTTGAAAAAGCTGACTGGATGTTCTGCTGTGATGATCGTGTTGGAGGAAATCTGAAACAATGACGGTGAATAAAAGGACAGAGCAGCTGAGTGTGAACAGAACAGAGGAGGCTCTAATCAGCGGTATAATGAGGAGGAAAGAGTGTAAAGGGTCAGTGCTTTGGAGAGAGAGTGTACAGCTTTTGTGTCTTTCTGATGACTCTGCGAGGACGGCACACAGATACATCATCATTAGATAGCCTAGAACACACACACACAGTTTCTCTTCCTCCTACACCCACAACTGTGTCTTGAAGATAAATTGCCATAGCAGGATTCACCAGAGACCTGATCAAAATATGTGTGCTTCCTTTTCTGTTCAGCATGTGTTCTCGTGTGTTTTGTACTTTAGGAAACGAGGACTGGTGGCTCACCGATGTTGGGGTGCTTCAGTAAACGACAAATCCTCGCCTCTCTCTCCAGCTTTTGATGATCTGAAAGAGAAAAAAGAGGAGACACAAGAACAGAGAGAAACAGACAGGCCGGTTATTTTTAATCCTCTCCATTATTCCCCCCACAATGATTGGCTTTTTAAAAAAAATCATCTAACATGAAGTTGGCTGCAAGTGAAGTTTGATTTAGTGGAGGACACTCTTTGTCGGAGCCTGTGTGTGTTTGACATTCACAGTTGTGCATGCGTGTGTGTTTGCCTCGTGTCGACCCCCGCTCTTTTCCTTATCGCAACTGAAACGCTCGACTAAAATAATGTGACCTGATATGTGCCTTGGTGACGCGCCACAAACAGACAGGCGACAGTGAACAACAAACAAAGAGGCAGCCGCAGAGGATTCACGTTGACTTCTGGTGTCGGCCTCAATATGAGCTCGCAGGTTCCTTCTCTGCCCTGAGGCTGAAATACATTTACAAGGATACAAAGATCATTCCTCTAATTTGGCTTTAATTGAATCTTCTGAGGTCAAAGCCAGGTGTAGATAATACGGCCCTTTCTTTCTCTAAATGTTTCTATGTTAGCACAGCTGATTTTGGGATGTCTCTTTATATATTTTTTCTGCAAATGTTAATATCAGGATAACCAGGATGTTGCAATTAATCTTCCTCATGAGATTCTTTTAATTAAAAAAAAACCTTTAAAAGAAGAATATTAAGATTTTATTTTTTGGGGGGTATTTTCTGCCTTTATTGGAGAGACAGGACAGTGGATAGAGTCGGAAATCAGGGAGAGAGAGAGAGTGGGGAATGACATGCGGGAAAGGAGCCACAGGTGGGATTCGAACCTGGGACGCCCCGCTTGGGGGACTACAGCCCACCAGCGCCCCAAGAAACAGAATAAACATATCTTTGCACGGGTCTCTAAAGAGGCCATATCGTTCCCCACACGACTGTATTCTCATTTTATTTTACTCCATTCATTTTTATCAAAGTCCAAAATGATTCCAACCTCGCTGTCGTTAATAAGTGTTCAACATTCGCTCGCTTGCCAAGAGGACAGACAGGCCTATCACCACGCTGTCCTCGCATGGAGACAGGCAGGATACTCGTTGTTACTGTATACCATGAAAGTGACAGCACTCACAGAGAATCACATCGCTCCTTTTTCCTCCTGACTGATTTTTAGTTAACTTTGTGTAACAAGAAGTGACGCTCAAACCTCCCCGTGAGAAAGGAGTCAAAGTCCAGGGACTCCGACTCAGTATTACTGAGTCAGAGAGCGGCCGTCTTTGGAATATGAGGGAAGCAGTGTGGTGTCGAGGCGACCCATTTCAGCTTTGCCTCGAACCACAGAGCCCGACAGCAAGAGACAGAGAGTGAACGGGGGGGAGAGAGAGGGAGAGAGACAGAGAGAGAGAGAAAGAGAGAGAGAGAGCGGGAGAGGGAGAGAGAGAGAGAGAGTGATGTCTTGGGTTTTTTTTTCCCAACATAAAATAGGACGCCTATTTTTCACTCTCATCCATGCCTCCCTCCTCTGCTCTTCTTGATGCTATGGAAACTGTGGACTCAGAGGCAAGAACACCAGGCAGCTTGTTCCCATTATAGGTACAGGCATCTGCTGCTGTGTGTCAGTGTACTGAATCTATAGGAGGCCACAGGCACACACACACAGACAAACTTCTTGCTGCTGTGTACTTTAAACAAAATGAAACTTGGCGTGCATCTCAAATGCTGGATAAAAAAAAAATAAAGGCCAGTACAGTATGTTCACTCACTGTGACTGAAACAGTGTTCGTCCACAGCAGAGGGGGGGCGGAGTTTATCAGGCGCAGGGAAAGAGATGAAGCCAAGATAAAATCCCAACAGTGGCATGCAAAACAAATACAGCTACAAGCTGTGGCTGCAGAACAGTTAATGCTAAAAATACAGAGAGGAAGATGCAGATTTTTTTTTAAAGCCTGCCCTGGTTAGTAACAGGACACACACACACACACACACACACACACACACACACACACACACACACACACACACACACACACACACACACACACACACACACACACACACACACACACACACACACACACACACACACACACACACACACACACACACACACACACACACACACACACACAAAACAGAGCAGGAGGAAGAGAGAAGGGACAATCCATTTGAAGATCTTCAAAAACAAGAGATAAATCATTCCCATTCGTTCTTTTTAGAATAAAATGAAATCCATCTTCTTTTTTTTAAATAGCAATAACAGCCTAAATATCATTATCTTACCAATATATTTATTTCCTTACAAGTGCAGAATGTAGGTCAATCACTATGTATTGGTTTGTCTGTATAAACTTTTCAGCTTCTGTACATGATATATGTGTTATAATACTGCAGGCTCGTGCAGGAACAGCAGTGATTTACAGTCAGACGTGTGCACACCTAGATCAGAGGCAGAGCTCGATGAATCACATTACTCTGAAAGACGGTCTGTGTGAAAACGCCTCACAAGAGGCCCCCGCAGACGCTGCAACAAACAGACCCCCCAGCGCAGCTCTTCACTGTGGTCGCAACGTCCGCCATATTGCCCGCGAGGACACACGCCAATTTTGATTTAGTTTGAAGACGACTGCCAGCTTAAGAGACGGGCAGCGTAGCAGCGAGGCATCCTGACAGGCAGAGCCAGAAACAAGGGCAACGCGGCCATTATTTCATGATTAGCAGAACCCTCTGAGCAAGGTCACTAATCTGACCGTCTCCGCCTCCGTCTGACCACGTTACTGAATGACACGTTATCTCAACCCATTTCTCTCGGCCTCACACAGAAGAAGCCGTGTCTCTGCTTTGCTTTTCTCAATGATTCATTTTATTAACAAATCTTTAGGTTTTCACTTTATTTATTTTACATGTCAGCCCTCGGCTCTGGATCATTTTTAAATCTGTGTCAAACTGCAGGCCGCAACAGTGTCTGTTACAAATGTGTATTATGCTCGCCCACCCTGAGACTTCTCCGATCAACTTTCATCAACTATAAAGGCAGGTAAAATGATCCCAACATATTCATTTTGTAAAGAAAGGAATGTTTGTGTAGGAAAGCTTGGGTGTGAGGGGTTTCCATTATGCTTTCCATTTGTATACATAATTCATAAAAACACATTTGCACAAATAGTTGATTAAATAATTCATACAAATCTCTCATCTTATCACCTTTAATGACCTTTTGTTGTTGTGAAGATACAAACAGGTTCCTTGTGTTCATTTTAAACTTCCTCCCCGGCTCAAACGCTACCTCATAATTCATCATGACGGCGTTTTACAGCTGACAAATTACTAGAGCAACCTTCAGTGCTCCGTCAAACTTCAACTTGTCTGCATTTTTAGCCCCGAGCCGTTCTCCTACACACTCAAAAATACATCAGACAGCCCACACAGATGCATTGGTCCACACCTACAAGTAGACTTTTTTTTTTACGCTCTTATTCCGAGTTTTTTTGGCATTGTGAAAGTGTGAAAATTATCTAAGTGCGTCCATGTGCATTCAGAAATAGCAGGAATTGACTTTTGTCGTCAGATATATTCCTGTGAAAACAGTTCAGCAGCCCACACTCTCTGAAAAGTTGGAAACACTAAGGCCAAGTCTTATTTGGACTCTATAGGTCTGTGAACCATTTAAAGATGCTTTAATACTTCTTTCTCCAGTCTCAACTTAAAAACACCAAAGATAAAGACGTACATCCAGAACTAGAAGCTAGTAAGAGAAATTCAGAGACACTCCGTAAAATGTTTAAAGGTCACATATTATGAAAAATAAACTTCACCATGTTTTTCTAACATTTATATGTGTCTCTAGTCTGTCTACAAACCCCCCAATTATAAGAAAAGTCCATCCTCTCTGTCTTCTGCCTGCTCCACTTTTCAGAAAATATGTGCTCAAACAGGCCGTTTGGAGATTTTCCCTTCATGACATCACAAAGGGCAGTAACCCCTCCCCCAGGTGGGTGACACTCCCACAGCTAGGTGTTTGTTCTGCCCTCTGAGTCTGCCTTCTCACCGTAAACAATAGGACATGGAGCGAGAAAGCCGAAGCCACCTGAGCCCTTCCAGAGAGGGGGGCGTGGTCAAACACAGCTCATTTACATATTTAAAGGTACAGACACAGAAACAGCCTGTTCTGAGCAGGGCTGAAATAGAGGGGTTTATAGACATGATCAAATACAGGATCAGAGTGGATTTAGAACAGGAAACTTCACAGACATGTTTTGTGGAACTCTGACACTTATTTAAACTTGATGAAAAGGAGAATATGTGACCTTTAACAAATTGTAAATATTGTCATCAACCATTTCAGCTGAAACATCATCAGCTGCAGATACATTTGAAAACAATTACGGTCTCTGCAAATTTGCAAATATCCCAAAAACAACTTTCAGTAGACTTTTTTTGCAGTTTTATTGACACGAGTAAATCCAACAATGTAAACTAATGTTTCCCTTTATGACAATGAAATCAAAATTGAAAAACACATAATGTAAATGTACATGATAGAAGTGGTTCAGTCATGCTCGCTGTATATTCTGCTGAACTTTATCTGTACTGTACTCTGTCATTGTCTGCCATATGACCGCCTCACTTCCTCTCCCTCCATCATTTCCCACCTCCACTTTTCCTTCACTCTCTCACTGTCTCCTCTCTCTCACTCCTCCACAGGTAGTCCTCCACCTCCCAGCTGGCTGGACATCTGTTGTCTAGCAACTCCTGCACCAATCAGAGTGTAAGGCCTCGCCTCTCCTCTGCAGTGAAACCAGCCTTGCATGCAAATGGCCAACACTGAGAGTTCACATAAAACTATCTAGCTCTTGACTACAGACAGGAAAGTACAAATTGTCTCATTAGTGAAGCACAAACAAGCTGTTGGAATGCTTCACCTTTAAAACACCCAACCATTAAACCAAACACTGTGGACATTTCTTACATGAAGACTAGAGAACTTAACAGATCTGAAACCCTTATAAAACATTAGGTTGGATGCTTTCTTGTG